GCAATTCTTAGGAATGTGAACTATAGAAACATATAAGTGCACCAACTATCTATAGGTGTGAAGATGTTCCTTGTACCTAAGTAAGTACAAAACACTGTAGATAAAAAAGATGTCTGTACAGTATTCATAAGAACAAAAATCATAACCCAAATGTCCATTAATGGAGTGGTTGCTCAAATGTTGGTACTTTCACACTATGAAATATTATACAGCCATTAACAAGAATGAGCCAGAAGTATTAACAGGAGACTATAAGAGCTTAATTAAAAAAAAAAAAAAGGAAATTGTAGGGAAAAAAACAGGGAAAATAAATCTGAGGTGTTAAGTTAAAAAAGCAAATTGTAGGGGCGCCTGGGTGGCTTAGTCGGTTAAGCGTCCGACTTTCGCTTAGGTCATGATCTCGCGGTTCGTGGGTTCGAGCCCCGCATCGGGCTCTGTGCTGACTGCCAGCTCAGAGCCTGGAGCCTGTTTCAGTCTGTGACTCCCTCTCTCTCTGACCCTCCCCTGCTCACACTGTCTCTCTCTCTCTCCTAGAAAAAAATAAAACATTAAAAAAAAAAAAAAAAGCAACTATTCTAAAAAAAAAAAGCAAATTGTAGGGACACCTGGCTTGCTTAGTTGGAGGAGCATGTGACTCTTGATCTCAGGATTGTAAATTCAAGCCCCATGTTGTATGTAGAGATTACATAAAAGTATTTAAAAAAATAAATAAAACCTTAAAAAAACATTGCAAAGCAAAAGATTGTATGGCCCCATTTTAAGGGGAAAACATATGCAGGGACATAGACAAGCACATATATGGAAAGGGGCTTTTAAAAAGCCTGGAAAGTTGCATTTAAAATGGAGGTGGGAGGGATGTTAAAAGGTCCTTTTGCTTTTTATTCCATAATATTTTAACCCAGTTGGAATTTTTAATGAAATAGCATGGATGTCTTTGAAAACAAGAAAAATGACAAAACAGTACGTAGTAAGAGCTGTCATTTATCAAGCTTTCGCAGAGTGGCAGGTATAAAACACTTTTTCTCTAATAGTCCTATTGAGTTGTTACGATTTGTCCCCATTTGACAGATACAGAAAGTGAGGTTTGGGGGGGCAATGTACAAAATGGACCCAGGCTTATCCTGTGTGTTCAGGGGCGGAGCTTGAACTCAATCCCTTTGGCTCCAAAGCCTCTTTTTCCCTAAGTCACAGAGTTGTGTTATGAGTCAGTTCCTGACAATTAGCCCGCTGTTCCAGGGGAGGTTAATGGCCTTTAGGAGAGTATCAACTTCCTTAGAGACAGTGGGTCCAGAGAGTGGTGCCTGGGGTCCTTGTTGAATGCTGCCCTCCTGGTGGTCTGATCTGTGGGGCTTGGTTGCAGCTTAGCTGTTACCAGGACAAAAATAATTCATGGGAAGCTTTTCTGTTTGGCTGAGGGTTCTGCTCTATAAACCAGGGGGAGTATAAGAGAGTCAAATTTTAACCTGCACACAATTTACAGTAATGTATGCTGTAGTATGTAGTTGTAGGACTTTATGGAATTTAACTTGACCCAATGGGAACAGACAGGAACAGTGTTAGCTTTAATGACTGATTTCCACTTAACTAGTTATACTCCTTAATATGGAAATTTGGTGCATTTGGTATTGGGGTAGCTGATTCAGAAACATTTAGAGTGTGTGTTGAGAGCTTGTTACCTGCTAGCCTTTTCATGTTTTGGTCTCAAAACAGGGAGAAAGTGACTGAGGGAACCCCTCGCCCCCCAGGAGATTCCTGTCCCCTCTGTCTTCAGCTGAGATCCCTGCCACCTTGTGAAGATAGGGCAGTTTTCCTGTTTTATTTATTTTTTATTTTTTTAATTTTTTGAAATGTTTTATTTATTTCTGAGAGGGAGAGAGAGAAAGAGAGACAGCGTGAGCGGGGAGGGTCAGAGAGAGAGGGAGATACAGAATTTGAAACAGGCTCCAGGCTGTGAGCTAGCTGTCAGCACAGAGCCTGATACGGGGCTCGAACCCATGAACCACGAGATCATGACCTGAGCTGAAGCTGGATGCTTAACCAACTGAGCCACCCAGGTGCCCTGCAGTTTTCTTGTTTTAAAGGGAAGGGCAGCAGCTTACTAACGAGTGATGAGGATCCCAGCCCAGGACGAATGGGGTGGAAGTGCACAAGCCCACTGGGGTTTCCAGCTCGACAGTTCCCACTTGGATCTTGCGCTGCCAGACGAGCTGCAGGCCACACGCTGCCTGTCTCTCTGCTCTGCTGTGCGGGGGGCTCTCCTACCCTTTGGTTGGCAGTAAATTAGGACAAAGCCCAAAGAACATTGCCTATTTACGGTCATAGAGATGCAGTATGACTTGGAAACTCTTTCCAAGTGTTATTCCAAAATGAGAATTTACCCCATGACATGAAAATAAAACGAGGTGGGTTTTTTTTTTTTGACTATTTGTTCACTCATTCAGCAGATATTTTCTTAGCCCTGCTGTGTGTCAAGCCCAGTGCTGAGCACAGAGAATACAGAATGGAAAAGACATGACCCCAGCCTTTGGAGATCTCCGTGTCTGTGGGGGAAGAGGGAAGAGAGGCAACCAGATAATCACAGTGTATTTTATAAGACTGTTAATAGGAGCTAGGGCAGCAGCTGCTGGGACGGGGTTCCCATTATGTACTTGCTGAGAGAATAAACAGCACCAAGGGAAGTGTCTTCAAACACAACCTGCCAGAGGAAGTCATGTGTGAATTGGGTCTCAAAGGGGAGTGGTAAAAGTGACATGAGAGTCCTGGATTTTTGCTATAGGAATGCTGAAAATGGGGACAAATGTCAAATGTATCTGGCTTCTAAAATTCCATTAGAATAAACCCTTTATAACAAACTACTATATGTGCCCTATAATTTTTTTATTTAAAATGTTGGAGAGAACCACATAGGAAGTGAACTGGGAATTTCTCAAAGCTTCAACAGATCTCAAGTGTGAAGTGCATGTTCCCTTTCCTTTCCCCTCCATCTCTTCTCTCTTTGTGAATGACAGCTTCATTGTTCTCCTTTGGAACATTGATCTTTGATAAGAAAAAGAAGCTGCCCATTACTGGGAAAGACTAAAAGGAGCAGAATGTTTGTATCTCCACCTCTTACCCTTGAAGTTGGTTACTGTTGATGGATCTAGAAGGAAGAGAGTCAACTTTTCCTTCAATTTCTATTTGGGTGTTTTTGTGAATAGACTAGAACTGCAAATATTCATAGGTAGAAAGTAACATTCTTGTATCCAGGCTTTGAGTTTCAGCAAGTGGTGAAATAAATATCATTTAAAAATAATGTGATTTGAGAGCACCTGGGTGGCTCAGTCAGTAAGCGATGGATTTCTTCTCAGGCCATGATCTCATGGTTTGTGAGTTCAAGCCCCGTGTTGGGCCCTGCACTGACAGCATGGAGCCTGCTTTGGATTTTCTGTCTCCCTCTCTCTTTGTCTCAAAAATAAATAAATAAATATTAAAAAATAAATAAAAACAAAGTGATTTTCACATCCGTAGGAGTGTTGCCAATAATTAGGTGCAGTGACATTTCTGCTAAATACATGCTTACTTAAATGTCTAATGGGGTGAAGTTTGCAATGTAAAGGAGGGTGGGTGGGTTCTGATATGTAGGAAGATTCAGTTTCCTTAATGAATTTGCTCAGTCTTCATCTGAAACCCATACTTCACATCCTTTGTCACGTAAATACCTGGCCACATACAGACGTCAGAAGAGCTAAGTGCGCATGACCTTCAGTACTTCCCCCAGCTGAGTCTCCACCTGTGGCAACAGCGCTCCAGAGATGGCCTGGTGGTTGGAGGTGGAAGCAGATTCAAAGCTTTTTTTTGTTTTTAATGTGTTTGTTTATTTTTGAGAGACAGAATGTGAGTGGGGGAGGGGCAGAGAGAGAGGGAGACACAGAATCCTAAGCGGGCTCCAGGCTCTGAGCTGTCAGTATAGAGTCCGATGCAGGACTCAGATTCACAAACCACGAGATCATGACCTGAGCTGGAGTCTGAGCTAAAACCGACTGAGCCCCTCTGGAGCCCCGCAGAGTGTTTTTTTAAAGTGCTGCTTTTGAGCACTGGCTGTAGTGTTAGCCTTTTGTCATTGCATCCAGCATCCACAGCAACGTTTTTATGGTATGATGAATCTAAGAGGTGGAATTTTTAAGAACCTTAACATGACCAAGAAATGCTGCCCTTGCAAAATAAGTCACCTTGGGAGGTGCCCTGGCGGGGGTGGGGGTGGGGGTGTTACTGCTCAGACTGTTAACTGAAGCAGTGCACCTAACTGGGTTCCTCATCCCCTTAATCCCATTAGATGCCAACACTGTCGTCCTCTGAAGAATTTGTCACCATGAGATACATTGTTTTAAAGTGGAAAGAAAGATGCTACAGGTAGCAAACCAGTTATAACACTAACAGCAGAATCAGTGAAATTATTCCTATCTAAAGTCTTTGAGAGGGGCGCCTGGATGGCTCAGTTGGTTGAGGGTCTGGCTTCGGCTCAGGTCATGATCTCACTGTTCGTGGGTTCAAGCCCCATGTCGGGCTCTGTGCTGACAGCTCAGAACCTGAAGCCTGCCTTCAGATTCTGTGTCTCCTTCTCTGACCCTCCCCTGCTCAATGCCGTCTCTCAAAAATAAATAAAACATTAAAAAAAAAATAAAATCTTTGAGAAATATAATGTTCATTTGAACGGTACAGCACCTGGTATATTGGCGCTGGCATAATTAAGGCCCTTTCCCATAGTTTACCTGGCATAAGACTACAAAGTGGTTAGAACCTCCCTGAAGGAGCACATTCAAGAATGTTAATTGGAAAAGGAAAAAAAAAAAGAATGTTAAGTGAAAGGAAAAGTACAGCAGCTCTCATTTAGGGAGTCCTCCCGGACTTCAGCCCTGCCCCTGGAGCCCACTTCCCATGTGTGCGCTCCCTGCAGTGCTCTCCTCGGGAAGCACCCGGCTCCTCTAACACGCTCTGCTAATACTCTCCTTTTGTTTCCTTAGGTATTTCTGGAAAAAGCCAGCTTCTCTTTGCACTGGTCTTCACAACTCGTTACCTGGATCTTTTTACTTCGTTTATTTCATTATATAATACATCTATGAAGGTACAGTATGCCAGCTGACGGGATGCATTTTACCCATGGTTCACAGGCCGATGGAAGCTGTGAAGTTTGGGCCAGTTGTGCACTTAAACATCTTCGAGAGCGAGGTCTAAACTTGCCGTTCTCGGCGTCAGCACTTTCAGACCACCTTGTACGTAGTACAAGTGGGAATAGAATAGCGTTATCATCAAGCATATTTTGTTTCAAAGCAGTATCTATTTAATTGAAGTGCTTTGCACTTAGAGACTTTTCAATCTTAAATTCCTTGAGTCTGATAAACTTCTAAAGCTCTTGATAACCCTGTGAGAAAGAGGGGTGACTATTATGTTTTCAAGCAGTGGGAAATTACAGGCTCCCTGAGAAACCCAGCAGGTTGGTTCAAAAGTAGGAACAAAGGCCACCGGCGCTCCTTGCTGCGATACCTGTTTTGCTGTCGTGAGAGGGATTATGCACTAGTTTCTACTTTTTTCCCTGTTAAATCCATGTTCTGTAACCTTCTTTGTGCCGCCTTTATCGCTTTTGCCATGCCTAAATAACCTCTGCGCCATCACTGTGTTCTTATAAGCATTAGTATTCCATGGCGTTAGTGTCGTTATAGTTTCCCGCATGAAAACAAATGTGTAGTTATGAAAGTGCAGAATGTGAACCTCCGGGGCTGCATGTGCCTCACTTCCAGAGGCCTTGGTTCCACGCAGCCGTGGAACTTACACTTCCTGAACACCCACGGCGTGCCCACTCCCCTAGGGCTGAGGACAGGGCAGGAGCCAAGCAGGAGGCTTCCTGTCTGGTCGGGGAGCGTAGAGCGATCATCCCAAGGCTGAATGAATGGCCGAAGTTTGGGATAGCTGCTGTGAAGCGGAAGTATGGGGCTGCCACCTTGTGCCAGAGGAGTCTCATTTCTTCCCTCTTCCGTTCTGCGTAGCTTACTGAGCACCTGGGTGTGGGGCCCTGTTGTCGGTGCTTGATCGTTGGCACACCCGAGGGAGTAGCGTTTAGGCTGATGCCTGTTGGTGTGGCACTTAAAAAGCATTTTTCCTAAACACAGGTCAGAGGAGACAAAGCAGTATTTGGACCTGTGGTCTTTACTAAAAAGCAACTTTGAGTTACCTATAATCATTCCATTCTTCATTACTAGGTAACGAGAGCCTCATAATCAGGAAATCGTTTGCTTGCTTAAAATGGCTAGGTCCCTGTCTGTTGTCCAGGCAAGTTAAAGCTGCAGGTATTAGGAGTGTGTGAGCAATAATTTTCCTCCATTCCCCTTGGAATACCTAGCTTTCAGAGGGCTCCTTCTTGTTTGATCCTAGTTTCCAAGCATGTCCTGAAAACCAGAGAAGAGAGGACCAAGTTTTATGTTCTCATGGCTTTGACTTTAACTGTTATTTATTTATTTTGAGAGACAGAGAGCAGGAGAGGGGCAGAGAGAAGGAGACAGAGGGAGAGAGGGAGAGAGAGAGAATCCTAAGTAGGCTCCAAGCTGTCAGCATGGAGCCTGATGCAGGGCTTGATACCACGACCGTGAGTTTATGACTTGAGGTGAAATCAAGAGTCCGATGCTTAACTGACTGAGTTGCCCTGGCGCCCCTTGTTGCTTTCGCTTTAAATGTCAAGCACTGGTGAGAGGAGACGGCAGCTGCTATCCCCAGTGGCCACTAAAGCCTTTGTGGACATGATCTTGGCTGGCTGAAGGCTGGGTGCTGAGGAGCAACCTTGGCGTGACTTGGTTGGATGTTCTGCTGGAGGGGACTGTGTTTATTTTTTTTATTTTTTATTAAAAAAAATTTTTTTTTAATGTCTTATTTATTTCTGAGGGAGAGAGAGACAGCACCAGCAGGGGAGGGTCAGAGAGAGAGGGAGACACAGAATCTGAAACAGGCTCCAGGCTCTGAGCTAGCTGTCAGCACAGAGCCCGACACAGGGCTTGAACCCACAAACCATGAGATCATGACCTAAGCCGCAGTTGGACACTTAACTGACTGAGTCACCCAGGTGCCCCACTCTGTGTATAAGTGTATGTATACTTTGTTGATACATGTAGATGATATGTTATTCACATACACATATATTTGTATGTGGAGAGAACTCACAATATAAATAAGATATTAATCTTCCTTGATTTTTTTTCATAGTTCAGTATATGGGTATGACCAACAATTTAATACCTTGTTAACTATTTATTTGCAAGTATAATTTTATGATGAAGTGCTGGGGACAGTTAATGTCTGTGTTTTGTTGTTAAGCATATGACTGGGTTTGATGATTGCTTTCCTTTTCCTATTAAGTCCTTTGCCCAGATGTTTTCCTAATTAGGTTTTGCAAGGTGGTTTTCCCCGGGGAGGAGTCCCAGGCAGTGCAGATGATACCCCAGTCGTTCCTGTTCGTAATCTAAACCTGCCCTTTGCTTCTTGGGCCTAAAACTTTGCATTCTGAAAATTGCTGTAATTTCAGAATATCATACTTTCCCTTTGGGTTGGATGAATACATGGTGTTTGGCCTTTTGAGTATGAAAGAACCTAACTGGATTGTAAGCCTTTAAACAGCTGTACCTCTGTGGGAGCTCCCTTACGCAGGCAGCGCTGTTTTACAGGCTATGGCTTACTTTTGGTTTTGGTTTTGCTTTTGTTATGTTACCGGACAAAATTTCATAGAAATGGTCTGAATATTCTGTGTTAAAGTAACACAAGGTCAGCAAAAATGGGCACCGTAAAGTTAAACGTGAGTTATGTGGTATCTTATCTTTACACGAGCACTAGTGGAGGGAGGTGCACTGGGTTTGAACTGCACTGAGTGAACTTTGTGATCTTTTTTTTTTTCTTAAGCTGCTATCTAATAGTTTGTGGTGAGATTAAAAATACACACTTTGGCAGTTTCTTATAAAGTTAAATGTACACTTTTAAGGAATGATCCAGCAATCCCATTGCTAGGTATTTACCCAAGAGAAGTGAAAACTTAGATTCATACAGATGTCTGTACATACATGTCCTGAGCAGCTGTATCTACTGTCCTCCAGGCTGGACAGCACCCACCTGTCCTATAGCCCCATCCACCTATTGTGTGCGGATGGACACTGTGTGGTAACATGCTCGCGGTGAGCTGCTCCTCAACAGCTGAAGGGAGCCTTGGTTACTACAGTACACAGCAGCATAGTTGGATCGAGAATGCATTAGCTTCGTTAAAGAAGCCAGTCTTGGGGGGCATACCGTCTGATTCCAGTCATGTGGCATTCTGGAAAAGGCAAAAACTAAGGACCAAGAATAGATCAGTTATCAAAAAAAAAAAAAAAAGATCATTTATCGCCAGAGGTTGCGCCTGGTCGGAGGGCTTGACTACAAAGGGGCTGCATGAGGGAGTTTTTGGGGGGTCATGAAATGGGACTATTCTGTGTCTTGATCGTGGTGGTGGTTAGATGACTCATAGAAGTATACACCTCCCCAAAATGACGTTTATTGTCTTTAAGCTTCAAACCAAAAAAGCTAAGGAAACAAATCTTGCCTTTCTGAGCATGTAAACGACGTAGAAGAAAGCCACAGGAGATGGGACCGTTGTGACATTATCGATGACCTGGTGCTTTCCTGTTCTTAGCTCATCTACATTGCCTGTTCCTATGCCACGGTGTACCTGATCTACATGAAATTTAAGGCGACCTACGATGGGAACCATGATACCTTCCGAGTGGAGTTTCTGGTGGTCCCTGTGGGAGGTCTCTCCTTTCTAGTCAATCACGATTTCTCCCCTCTTGAGGTGAGTCAAGGGGTTAGTTAGTGGGCATGTCCACTTCCTGTGTTTGCAGATAATGTGGGACGGTTCCATTTTGCTTGTGTTTCCAGTTTGGCAAGCTTTTGGCTCAGCATACACTATTTGGTGTAAATAAGTCACGGGCAGGGATAAAGCCCCCAGTTATTTGGGTGTCTGCTAACAGATTATTGGCAGATTCTCCCCTAGAACATAAGCTAGGTGTCCGTGGTAGCAAACGCAGTGCCTTGCCTGCCCACGAGCTGGAAGAACATGATCTTCTCTCTACTCTGACCCGGCTTTTGTATCCTCCTCACAGACGGTTGTGCATGGATGCCACGTGCAACTCCCCTGCGCAGCCTTGCCGCACTCCCGGTGTTTAGGAGTGGTCAGCGTGGCACCCTGCACTGCACGGAGCCGTGCCTGCCCCTGGGTGCCGCACCCTTCCCTCCATGCCCTGAGGAGGCTGCCCCTCACGGATTCAGAACACTCTCAGGACTCCCCACAAGGCCTTCAGTCGTTGGCATGAATAAAGTGCCACATTGGGCAGAGTTTGCCCCATTCCCATTACTTGCCCCTTTGATTTAACCACACCAAAAAAGCCTAAAGAATAATAAAGATGCTGAGAATATTGAGGTCCCTTGGGAAGGAGACCAGCTGGCGAGGCAGAGCACCCGTGGGAGAGGGGTAGCCCCGGCTGGCAGCTTCGTGCACCCTGGCAGAGAGCTGCATTCACTCTGGAGCCTAGATTCGCAGCGGGACAGGCTTTTCTGGGAGAAACATGTCTGTAGATTCACAGAAAATTGTACAGGGAAGGGGAGATGTTGGAGAGGCAAGGTCATGAAAATTCACACAGGCCGAGGCGTCTAGTTACCCAACTTGTCATTGGGAGTGTTGTGCCTCTTAAAAGGAGCAAGTTTCTGAGATTTACCAAACCGCGAAGCTGCTCTGTTTACGCTCAGATGCCAAGAATGCTGTCTGTGCTGCTCCACGATAAAGCAAGAGTGTTTCCCGTGAGCTCACGGGGGGTACTGACCGAGCCTCGTGGTTTCTCTTACAGATTTTGTGGACCTTCTCCATCTACCTGGAATCCGTGGCTATCCTTCCCCAGCTCTTCATGATCAGCAAGACGGGGGAGGCGGAGACCATCACCACCCACTACCTGTTCTTCCTGGGCCTCTACCGTGCTCTGTATCTCGTCAACTGGATCTGGCGCTTCTACTTTGAGGGCTTCTTTGACCTCATTGCTGTGGTGGCCGGCGTTGTCCAGACCATTCTGTACTGTGACTTCTTCTACTTGTACATCACAAAAGGTACCTCAGGCGACGTGCTCCCTGCCTTGTTCCTACCGCTGTGTGTTTTCAGGAGCGATCTGGCCCAGGACGCTCCTAATGTGGCACTAACTCCAAAAACACAGCTCGTTTCAGAAAAACATTTTAACGACCATCAAGTAAAATTCTGGATCAAGGTTTTCAGCCTTTTTTCTTTTCCCAGCTTTATTGTTTCTTTTTTATGACAGCATGTTTTTATTGTAAAAAAATTAATTAGCTTTCATCATTATGAAAACAATCACCTGAACCCTAGCACTCAGAGATAGTTGGTGTTAATGTTTCAGGAAATGTGATTTCAGATATGTCTATGCATATACACAGATACTGGAGTTTTAAACTATACATGTTATTCTATAATCTGGGTTTTCTTCCCAACTCACATTTTTTCAAGTCAGGAGATAGAAATCTACGTCATTTTCAGGAGCCATAGAGTATTTCATTATGTGTATTACCATAATTACTCGGCTCCCTGTTCGTGGGTATTCAGGTTGTTACTCATTAGTTGCTATTAAAATCCAGTGCTTAATTTGGTATCCTTGTACATGTATATTGTCCCATTTATATAAATATAGGACATGCAAATGTCACAGTAATCTGATAGAAAAAAAGACATTTATGCATGTGCACACAAATGTAAGCATATAGTTTTAGGGAATTCAGGACCCCCTGAAACCCAACTGCAGACTCAGGCTAAGAACCCTTGCTATACAGCTATATAGTATAATTCTTAATGGCTAGGTACAAGGGCATATATGTCTTTTTTAAGCTCCAAAATTTCATAGACCTCTTATGTTTCAACAGTTGTATTTTAATATATATTGAATCGAGAGAAAGTCATGATAGGAAATGCTGCTGTGAATTTAGTGACATTTTCAGTCGAATTGGTGTTTCTTAAATTCAGTTGCTGTGGCACTGAGGAACATGAGGAAAATTCGAGTGTAAGTGCGCAGGCCGAATTCATGGTTCGGAGAGTTCTGTTTATTGACACCAAAATCAAATGACTGTTGATGCCAAAAGCTTGTCTCATTGTACCTTATTTTGTAGTGTCTGAGTGTGACAGCCTTCTGGGAATGGGAAAAGAAACTGTAAACTTGTCAATACCAGTAACCTTTTGTTTTTTCTTCCTCTCTTTAAAATCCTAGTACTCAAGGGAAAGAAGCTCAGTCTGCCAGCATAAGTGCCAAAGACCGTCACCAGCATCTGTCCTTCAGGGTGCTCGGACAGAGTTCTTACCACAGCAAAGGCACAAGATGCTTGATAACGGAAAATCAGAAACTTAACTCTTTTGTTCAGATAGTCATCAGTGGCTCTGTAGGAACCCAGAGGAAAAGAACCAGAGGTTTCTGTTTAATGCATCTTGCCTTATCTTTTTTTATTACTATGTACAAAGATTTTTTTACACAAAGAAACTTAATGCTGTATTAATAAATTCAGTGTGTAGCTTCAATTGGGGTAGTTCCAAAAGTGAAGATTTTGTGAGGAATAAGTGCAACTTTTTTTTTTAATTCTTTGAAATTGTTGATTCTTTGTGTCTGCAATGAAATTGTACTCCTTGACAGTTGGTAGATTATATATTCTTCCATCTATCAAACTTGCATTCCACTATATTTATTTTTTGCCAAAAGATGAGTTATATTTGTTTGAAATCTGAGACACTATGTTCCATTTGATATATCTATTCAAATTTCTTCGCACCGAAAGTGGAAATCCTTCCTCAGATATCAACACTACATGTAAGGCCGGTAAGGATGGCTTGCAAGTTTTCTGGTTTTCATTACCAAAATTGTACGATTCTGAATGTAGGAGTCAGATTTAAGAGTCCCCAGTGGTGCCTGCCCTCCTCTTCTGCTGAGAAGAGTCAGTGTGAGACTGTCCCAAGGATGTCGAAGAACTCGGTGGACGGGGGTCTGGGCCGCTTGCCATCTAGGTGTGGGACGTGAGGGCCGTTATGTCCTCTGAGGAACGGAACACAAGCACTCACGTATCACCTTTATTTTCACTTGAAAAAGATGAGTACAACCATGTCCATGCTCAGATTCACACGGTTTCTCGTATCACTTTTGGGTAGTAAATTGATTTACGTTTTTTTTTTTCTTAATTGGCAGCACCAATTGCCGTTCCTTATACTCATAGATTTTTTTTTGTTTTTGTTTTTACTGAGCTCTTGCATGATTTCTCTTGTTACCATCCTAAATAAACATTTTATTAAACATAGACTAAATTGTCTTTTTTTTTTTTTTTGGTGAATTAGGCTTTTGGAATATCCTATATCAGGATGACTTTTTTCATTTTAATTGGCAACAAAAGCTCTATATAGGGCCGTAAACATTTATTATCCGCTAATTAATTTAAAACTTCCTGTGTTTTGAGGAAAAATTGGAGTTTTTTCTCCTGATTTTGCCATTTTATTGATTTGCTACATTTTTTTGTTTTTATGCAAAGCATAGGACTTTTGTTTTTATGTGATGCACCACAAAATGTTGAAGAGTTGAATACTAACAGTGCTTACTACAAGGATGTAGTATTTTTGCTTGCTGCATTAAAATAATTTGTGGAAGAAGGGAGCTAGATGGGTTTTATTTTTATCTAGTGTGTCTCTTAACATCTTTCTGAATTGGCAGTGTAACAGCATAGTTTAACCTCGTCTTTCTCTCCCACCTTGCTCCCCGCACCCCGTGCATCATGGTTTTGCTTTGGGATATCCGTATGTCTCTAGCATTCTAGTCTTGGGTTAGTTTGTTTTCATCCTCCTTGGAAGATTCTGAGAGCGCGGAGGAAGGGTGGGAAATAGCCACAGAGTGAGCAGACTGCTTGCTGCCCACACTGGGGGTGGGGTGGGAGGCTCACACTGTCTTTGTGCATGTAAATCAAACATGAGTTGGGACCATTTGTGGGAGAGCACAGTGCAGAAAACAAGGATCTGGGACCTCAGCAGGCCGCCTGGCTTGGGAAGTACCAACGCCTTCTCTAGTCATTCTGCCCATGTAAAAATAAAGCTGGCGAAGATGGGACCACCATTTTGTGGCCAGCAGGGAGGACATCTTCATAAACAGGGTGGCTGCGTGGGGGTGCAGGACTGGGGCGGCGGCCCCGCACATGTAGGAAACAAAGGCCTTGTATGGTGCACCTTATAAAGCACTGTTTTAGATTCCCTTTCACGTCTCCAATAAAGGTTATCAGGTAATTATATTTTTTATCCAGCTGTTTTATTTGTGTGCCTTTTTTTTTTTTAATGAAAGCATGAGGAGAAATCCAGCAAAGTTAGCAGATTTGCCCCTTAAGTGAGAATTCTGTGAAAAGCTGCAGGCTCTCTTGGCTGCGTGCAGACACTAATCCAGTCCCCGTCCAGTTCAGCCACAGTATCAGAGTAATGTTCCTGCTTCCTTACAGTCTGGCCAAGAGGGGAGTAGGTAGAGAGAAGGTGGGGGGAGTAGGAAGGTTGCAGGTGGAAGGCCTTGGGAGAAGATCCAGTCCAGCTTTTCCAAAGATATCACGAGGTTGGAAGACTTCCTGGAAAGGCCAAGTAAAGATTTCCTTGCAACAGAAATCACAAGTGAGGGGCACCTGGGCGGCTCAATCGGGTAAGCTTCCAACTTTGGCTCAGGGTATGATCTAAAGGCTTGTGGGTTCGAGGCCTACCTTGGGCTCCACACTGGTGGTGCAGAGTCTGCTTGGGGTTCTCTCTTTCTCCTTCTCTCTGCCCCTTCTGTGATCTCTTGCTTTTTCTCTAAATAAATAAACTTAAAGAAAAAAAAAGAGTGGTTGGGGCGCTTGGGTGGCTCAGTCGGTTAAGCATCCAAGCTGATTTCGGCTCAGGTCATAAATTACGGTTTGTGAAACTGGGCCTCTGGTTGGGTCCTGCGTTGATAGTGTGGAGCCTGCTTGGGATTTGGAATTCTCTCTCTCTCTCTACCCCTCCACCCCCCAAATAAATAAACGAAAGAAAGAAGAAAGAAATCATGAGTGGTTAGTGCGAACCCTGGGTAAGAAAATCACAAGCTTTGGGATGAGCTGCTCACACTCTAGCTCTGTGACCCTGGATTTAACATGAGCCTCCATCTCCCTCCTTTACCTGCAGACACTCTTGCCCGCAGGATTTTGGTGACGTGTGAATGAGCCCATGTTGGTGAAGCTCAAAACAGAACTTGATGCACACACATTAAGTGTTCGGCACCTCTGTGACCTCCTGCCCCCCTCCCTTTGTGCTGAGTTTGGGACGGCTTCCTTGCAAGCTGGCTAGAAATCAGTCACTTCCGGCAGGGGTTTCTGTGGCCTATTTGAGAACATGGGTCAATTTTGCCCTTGTGGGGAGCACAGTGCACCTGTAGACCTTCACTCTTCAGTACCTTCCCCAAAACACCTGAGTGACGTCTAATGAAGGCTGATTGGATTGGGGCTCCAGGTGGGCTTTTCTTTCGCCTGTGTGCTTCGCCCTCTAGTGACTGAATGTGGAATTAGCAAGGAGCCCACCCTGCTCGGTACTCAACCTTCACCGCTGAGTTAGCCTTTGCAGTGCAGCGTCTCGTGTAGGTGCTGTGGGCATTTCTCCTCTGAAACAGTTCCCTCTTAGCCCTGCAATTTTAAAGCAAGTCACAGCATAATATAGCACTAATCTTTTAAAACGACAGGGATACTTTTTTAATAATACTGTAATATTCCAGGTCTCCACTCCTAGGTTCGCCTTGAGCACTTAAACGGTGAGAGTCTCTAGGCAAGTGCTACACTACACTTGACTCTGTTGTCAAGACAGAATAGAAATACGGAATGCATTTACTCCTCTAATAAGGGGGGGGTTCTAAGACAATTAATAGTTGTGTAATAGGAAACCGGGGTGTGCCCTGAAACTAAAAAGGTCTCTTGTTAACTTTGAATTCTGAGAATTGAAGATTCAGGGCTGTAAAGAACCCTCAGAAAAACAAGTGTCCAAATTCCTGGCTAACATTGCCCGATCCCCATCTGACATAGATTAAATGCAAGGATATTAGTTTTACTCAGGACAGGGATTTACTCTTATGAAAGAAAATTAAGTCCTAAAGGGAGAAATAGTGGAGGAAATGAATCAACTGATTTGTAAACATGAAAGAGTAAAGATCACAGTTTCTCCAAGTTAATGTGTTTTTTTTTTTTAGTTTGTTTATTTTTGAGACCGAGACAGCACGAGTGGGGGAGGGGCAGAGAGAGAGGGAGACAGAGTCTGAAACCAGCTCCAAGCTCTGAGCTAGCTACCGGCACAGAACCCGATGCGCGGCTCAAACGCACTAACGGTGAGATCATGATCTGAGCCGAAGTCGGACGCTCAACTGACTGAGCCATCCAGGCAGGCCCCCCTCTAAGTTAATGTTTTTAAATAGCTCTAATTCGGGGCACCTGGGTGGCTAAGTAGGTTAAGTGTCTGACTTTGGCTCAGGTCATGATCTCACAGTTTGTGATTTCGAGCCCCGCATCAGGCTCTGCCCCGCTGACTTTGTGGAGCCTACTTGGGATTCTCTCTATCCCTCTCCTCCTCCCCCTTCCCTCTCTTGTGCTTTCTGTCTCTCTCAAAATAAACTTAAAAAAAAAAAAAAGCTCTAATTCAACCAATGGAATGTTATACAGAAATGGCAGGACAAATGCAGAGACTAGAACTATTCAAAATACGTTTTTTAATATATATACTGCCTCTGAAATTATAGTTTTGTGCATTGTTATTGATCTTAACATTAAGTTGACAGCATTTTATCTTTACTAACGAAGGCTTATGTAGAAGAATAATCTTACTCCTAAGCTTTACAAATCCTGTTTTCAAAAGGGAACTATTACATTTGAGAATATTTGGATCATTTGGATCATAGACAAAAGCCTCTAACTTCTGAATCTCCCTCTATCCTTCCTCCAGTCTCGTTTTAGTACCTTCCTCAGGGAAGTCTTCCTTGACCTCTCTGATTAAGTTACTGGCTACAAGTACTCAAGAAATACTTATTTTATAATGAATAGTTTTCTTTTCTGTAGAAACCTTGTAACATCCCCATTTACAATTCCCTGATGATTTCCACAAGCATAATTAAAATTTCAATTTTATTTTTAACCCTGAAATTCTGCCCTTTAGAAGACCCCGAGGAACTTCAGACTTAGAAAATCTTGACATTTAATGAGTTCATTCATCAATTATTTAATAAGTGCCTGTAATGCGATCTATTATTACCTGCACAGCAGTGAACAAGATGGACAAGGTAAATTCCTCATGCAATTTACACTCTAAGGTGGGAGGAGAGAGGTAACAAATGTGGAGCAGTGTAGGGGAGCAATTAAGTATTAGGAGAAAAACTAAAGCAGAGTAAGGGAATGGAAACAGGTTGAGTGTGCTGTTTAGCTAAGGTGGCCAGGGAAGGCGTCTTTGAGACGGACACTGGAGCTGAGGCCTGAATGAACAGAGACAGATGGAAATACCTGGGGAGGAGCATCCCTGGCGAAGGACACAGAGAATGTAAAAGCCCTGGGGCGAAAATGAGGTTGATGTATTTGGGGGTGGGGAAGGCGGCAGTGCGGTGATGGAGAGAGAGAATGGTAACCCAAACCCAGGGAGACACAATCACGCACTGACAGACTTCTGATGTGTGACTACCAGGGAAAAACCTTTCCAGAGGGAGCTGGAGTCAATTTTACGTACAAAGTGCAGCCTTGCAAGGCTGCTTCAGGGGAAATACCTTGTCACGGGGCGGGGAGGAATAGCAGAATGAGGGGGCACGGTGGGAAGATCGGACCAGGCATAAGGCAAAGGAGGCTCAGACCAGGGTGGAGGAGAGTGGAGGTGCTAAGTGCTCAGAACCCACGCCACTAGGCGACGGCCTGCTAGCGGTAGAGGGGCGTGGGTCAGGCTATTCCCCCCACACCCCAGCCAGGAGCCCCGAGCGGCTTCAGACCCGGAACACAGAGGCGTCCTAAAGCGGCACTCCTGACCGCAGGAAGCATCGATGGTGAACTTCGTCACACGCCTCGAGGCCCACGGTCCTGGGATGAGCCCCAGATCAGCCATTAACAGCCGTGGATCTCGGGGGAAAGGCAATTCCTCCGGGCCCGAAAAGTCCTTACCTACAAAAGGGGACTGTTACCAGAACGGACTTTAGTCCCATACAAGAACAGCATTGAAACTGCCCAGTCCTCCCAGTCAGCGTATCTGCGCAGGCGCGGAGGGTTCCTTCCCCCCCCCCCCGCCGGCTCTGAGAAACTTCAGTGCGCGTGCGCCGGGCCGGGCCGGGCCTTCGTGCGCGCCTGCGCCGAGTCGCCGTCAGTTTGGCGTTGGTTCCGGAGGGCGCGGGGCTTCTAGTGGCCACCGGCGCGAGGAGTGCTGGCCCGAGGCGGGGCAGCAGGGCCTCCGCCATGCCCGGGATGGTGCTCTTCGGTCGGCGCTGGGCCATCGCCAGCGACGACCTGGTCTTCCCGGGGTTCTTCGAGCTGTCCTTGCGAGTGGTGTGGTAAGGGCGGCGGGCTGTGCGGGCTGGCGGGCGACCGGGCGGCCGGGGCGCGCAGGGAGCGTGTCCGGGAGCAGCGGCCGTGTCGCCGAGTTTGTGCGCACCGACGCGGGCCCCACGTTCCCGTGTCTGGGCCTCCCCACCGGTGGCCCGAGGACGTGGGTGCTGCCGCTCTACCCATTTCACGGAGGGCACACTGAGGCCGGAGCAGGTAGGGCGCGCCCGGGGGCACCCAGGTGGGTCCCGTGGCGCTGGCGCCCGTCGCGTGCGTCGCCGACGCCTGGCCCTGGGAGCCTCCAGAACGTCGTTGCCGACCAAAGGACGTGACCTCCGGATCCTCTTCCTGGAGCCGGGGAGCAGCCCTTGGATCATTACGCGCTCGGCCTGGAAACGCAGAGCATCTTTTGTTCCGTCAAAGGAAAGATGGAAAATAGCCTGGCCGCCGTTCCTGGGCGGGCTGTGGCCGAGTTCCATGTCTTGAGGCGCAGTCAGGCTCGGGAAATATATACCCTCGTGTCTTTCCAAGTGTGGAAAGTGGAATTGGCCTCCTGAGATGTTTCCAGACGGTCTGAACAGGGAATAAAACAGCACCCCTGTTTTTTACAAACACGTTCTTGAGAGGAAAGGAATATAAGAACACGCAATGTTGGAAGTGGCTTCGTAATAGTTTCATATTTTCTAGAGCCAGGCGTCTCTCAGATCACTTCCCATTATTATTTCCATACCCAGAGTCCTAATCACGCAAAACTGACAAAAGTGTAAGATGTTTATCTCATCCAGTTCCACCTCTGGGCTGGAATCCTTAATACAGCGTTCTTGCCAGCAGGTGCTCTGCCCTTTGCTGAAATACATCTCGGGACCAGTCGCTGTTACTTTGCCTTGTTTGGGGTTGTCTTAGTCGTTGTTCTGCATTGAATTACAGAATCTCAGAGTCTCAGTGCTTGGTCTTTCAAGCTTATCGGTGTTCACTGTAGACCATCTTTGCATAACTTGCTTCTTGCCTGCTGGTTTTGTACCACACACAGCAGATTACAATGTGTCAAGTTCTTGTTCATCCACAGGTGTAAACACTATCTTGTTAATAATTTAGCAAGCATGTACTTTGTTGGTTTACAGTTGCATACTTCTTTTTTTCATTAATTTATTGGGGGGGGGGGGGAAGGCAGAGAGAGAATCCCAAGCCAGCTCTGCACTGCCAGCTTGGAGCCCGACCTGGGGCTTGAACTCCTGAACCATAAGATCATGACCTAAGCTGAAACCAAGAGTCAGATGCTCAACCGACTGAGCCACCCAGGTGCCCCTACAGCTGCGTCTTTTTGAGTCATGATGGGGTTGCTGTTTTTCAATAGTTCGTTTTCTGTTTGCTCGTGTGTGGCATTAAATGCCTCTTATGAATTATCGCAGGCATAGAATAAGAGGTATCACGTAGGCACAGAAAGTACAAAACTAATTTTTTTTAAAGTCATACTTTTTAATTAGTAGATCTTTTATTATTTTTTTTCCATCTTTCATCGAAGGAAATTTTGGTCCAAAGCAGATTTTCACCTTGTTTTGGGGAAACATTAACTCTTGTAAAAAATTTTATTTTTAATTATCTTAAAAAATTTTTTTAAATATTAACTCATTTTCTTTCTTTCTGTAATGTTTTACAAAGTGGTTCCTTGGATTCCATTTCTGACCCTCCCTGTCTCTCGGCAGGTGGATTGGCATTTTGACTTTGTACCTCCTGCACAGAGGCAAGCTGGACTGTGCCGGCGGGGCCCTGCTCAGCAGTTACATGATTGTCCTCCTCGTTCTTCTAGCAGTTATTATATGTACCCTGTCAGCCATCGTATGTGTCAGCATGAAAGGTAAAGGGTAGCCTCTTCTATTTGCTCTCTGTCCTTTTTTTAACAGCTTGATTGAGATCTAATTCACACACCGTACATACAGTTCACCCATTTAAAGTGTGGGGGTCCATGATTTCTAGTCTGTTCGCTGTCGCCACAGTTTTAGAACATTCTTACCACCCCAGAAAGAAATCCTGTACCCATTAGTGATCACTCCTCATTTTTCCAGATTTTCTCTGCCCTAGCCACCCTCTTCTCTGCTTTCTGTCTGTACGTTTGGCCATTCTGGATCATATAACTAGAATCGTCCACTATGTGGCTGTTGGGTCTGTCTCTGAACTTAGCATGTTTAGGTTGATTCATGTTTTAGATTGTCAGCACTTAATTTTATGGCTGAGGAAGATTAATTGCATTGAATGTGCATGCCAGATTTTACTTAAACATTTGTCAGTTGGACATTTGGGGTTATTTGACACTTTGGGGCTGTTATAAATAATGCCGCTATGAACATTCAGTTGCATGTTTTTGATACACAGAGGTTTTCGTGTCTCTTGGGTGTACCTAGGGTGGAATTGCTAGATCATGTGGTCACACTGTGTCTAACCTGAGGAGCTGCCAGACTGTTTTCCAAGCAGCTGCACCATCTTTCTTTCAGTTTAGAAAGAGTTTCCATTTCTCCACATGTTCCACTGAAATTTGCCCTGATTAATTTAAAATATGCCTAGAGTGGGGCACCTGGGTGCTCAGTCGGTTAAGTGTCTGACTGCGGCTCAGGTCATGATCTCACGGTCGGTGGATTTGAGCCCCATGTCGGGCTCTGTGCTGACAGCTCAGAGCCTGGAGCCTGCTTCGGATTCTGTGTCTCCTTGTCTCTCTGACCCTCCCCTGCTCTGTCTCTGTCTCTCTATCTCTCTCTCAAAAATAAACATTAAAAATTTTTTGCTTAAATGATAATTCTTTTGTACGTGTTACAGTTTTTAGTAGTCTCTTCTCCAAAAATGTTGGGAACCTTCCCTTACGTGTTACAGTTTTTAGTAGTCTCTTCTCCAAAAATGTTGGGAACCTTCCCTACATGACTGCTCAGGCTCACAGGATGGGCTGAGCAGTGTGGTGCATTAGGAAGTATCAGTCAAAGGCAGGGCTGTATGGCGTGCTGCTGTCCACCCAGTGCATTTCATCGTTGCTTGAATGGGGCTGTGGGAGGCATGCTTACACACTCAAGATGATGGTGGTAAACCCGGGGGGCAGTATCACGATCTTGGTGGTTTGGAATGACCAGCTGAAACTTAAAAGATGGTGGTAACTCAGTGGCCAAGTGTTTCATGAGGAAGACTATAGGGTTTGGATGACCACATAGTGTGGCTTGTGTCCACTTTCTAGAGAAAAGTATAGGAATGAGCTCTGTGTATTTCTGCATGGCCCTAGGAAACATGAATGCATGAAAAGGGTCCCAGTTTTGTGGTCTGTGTCATTCCCTGCAGGGTAGAGGTGCTTTTGTTTTTGTTTTTGTTTGAAGTAAACTCTACCCCCAACGTGGAGCTTGAACTCATGACCCGGGGCTCAGCAGCCGTTTGTTCTCCTGACTGAGCCAGCTGGGCACCCCGGCACTAAAGAGTGTGTGTGTGTGTGTGTGTGTGTGTTTATAAATTTTTTTTTTTAATGTTTTATTTATTTTTGAGAGGAGACAGTATGAGCAGCAGAGGGTCAGAGAGAGAGGGAGATACAGAATCTGAAACAGGCTCCTGGCTCTGAGCTAGTTGTCAGCACAGAGCCCGACATGGGGCTCAAACCCACGAACCGTGAGATCATGACCTGAGCCGAAGTTGGATGCTTAACTGACTGAGCCACCCAGGCACTCCCACTAAACAGTGTTTTAATGAAATCAGAATTTCTGAAAGTTGAGGTATTTAGGTTGGTGTTACTTCAGCTATGGCATTGTTTCAATTACATTATTATTTATTATATTTGGTTATTTTTTATTTTAAATTATTGAAAAAATTTTTAATGTTTATTATTTATTTTTGAGAGAGAGAGACACACACACACAGCATCCAAAGCAGGCTCCAGACTCCAAGCTGTCAGCACAGGGCCCAACGTGGGGCTCAAACCCATGAACTGTGAGATCATGACCTGAGCCAAAGTTGGAAACTCAACCGATTGAGCCACCCAGGTGCCCATAGCATCACCTCATTTCTTTGCCCTTTCTGTTCATGTCCTATTCTGGTTAGGAGACCCACGTGTACAGCTATAGCAGGAGGTTCAGATTTAAAGCAGTAATTTGGCTTTTTTCCCCTTAAATATTTGTCTTCAAATATGTTTGGTGGTATCAGGGCACTTTCACGCCCTGCGATGGATGGCCATATACTGAGGCTCTTCCTAATCACTTGCTTCATGCCTGCACCATCTCACATTCATGGTCAGGACTCAGAAAATATAGGACAGGTAGGAGCGCCTGGGTGGCTCAGTTGAGCGTCCTCCGACTTCGGTTCAGGTCATGCACGACCTCATGGTTCGTGGGTTCAAGCCCCGTGTTGGGCTCTGTGCTGACAGCTCAGAGCCTGGAGCCTGCTTTGGATTCTGTGTCTCCCTCTCTCTCTCTGCCCCTCGCCTGCTTGCTCTCCATTTCTCTCTCTCTCGAAAATAATAAACGTTAAAAAAAACCTTTTTTAATTATATGACGGTGTACATGTTAGGCACTATGTGCAGGTTGCATGTGTTTTCTGTTATGTGCCGGCTGCGTGTGTGATAGGGAGGTCACCTATGCAGCAGCCTCTTCCAGACAGGACCCAGCTTTATCCAGGACATCCCCCATCCCTCACATAGGAAGTGTGTGTGTCAGAGAATCTCACTTTCCACCCAGCTCAGGAATGATTCTCATGAATGAGCCAATGGACATGTGACCCAATTTGAGCCAGTGAAATTCAGGAGTTTTCTGGAAAGTTCTGGAGAAGTCTTTCCTTGCTCCTGTGGGAAAGACCCAGAAGGAACAGTTTTCGTTCTGGGTGATCCTGTGTATGGGTAAGCCAATGAATTCCTGCTATGTGCCCGCTCCCAGCCTAGGAGGAGCTGATGTACAAAGGAGGGCGGAGCCGTGAGAAGCAGGAGCGCCGGTGACACCTGTCTTGGTTCTGCACTTCCAGTCCCTGAAGGCAGGACAGGCCCTTCCTGTTTTTATTGATCTGTTGCTAAGAGAGCACATCTTTTTTTTTGTTTTTTAATGTTTTATTTATTTCCTAGGGGGGAGAGAGAGAGAGAGACAGCGTGAGCAGGGGAGGGTCAGAGAGAGAGGGAGTCACAGACTGAAACAGGCACCAGGCTCTGCGCTGGCTGTCAGCACAGAGCCCGACGCGGGGCCCGAACCCACGAACTGCGAGATCATGACCTAAGCGAAAGTTGGACGCTTAACCGACTAAGCCACCCAGGCGCCCCAAGGCCCTTCCTGTTTTTAAACCTTCTGTTACTTGTGGCTGGAGATACCACAACCGAACTAAAAACAGTATTTTATAAAGCCTGTTAGTGTAATTGCTAATTTGTTACAAATAATTAATATTGTATACTTAAGGGCACCTGGAGAGGCTTAGTCAGTTAAGTGTCCAACTCTTGATTTGGCTCAGGTCATGATCTCCCAGTTCATGGGATCGAGCCCCATGTTGGGCTCTGTGCTGACAGCATGGAGCCTGCCTGGGATTCTCTCTCCCTCTGCGTCTCTTCTACTTGCTTGCATGTTTGCACACATGCACCTCCCCCTGAAATATATAAATAAATATTTTAAAAATATGTAAACTTCATAAAAGTACCATAAAGTTAAAAAAAAATGAAGTGGAAAAAAAACATTGGAACATATGAGACATAGAGCCAATCTTTTTCATAAATTAGGGTCCTACTATAATAAATAAGAAAAAGACTGACTCAGAAAAATGAGCAGAGGTCATAAATAGCAAATATAAATGCCTTTTACATGTATTGAAAATGTTCAGCCTCAGTCACAATAACAAAAAGTCACCTACATAATACATTGAGCTGGTGAGGCTGTGCAGAAGTAATCAGCCCGTTCTGTTGGTGACTGTACATTGGAAGCCAGATTTGGTAAGTGTACACTATTTGCATATCAGTCAGTATTCTCGTATATACTTGCATGTGTGCAAACAAGTCCTTGTAGGTGAAAAAACAAAACAGGTGAACATATAGGAAGGGGAAAAAAAGAGAGAGAAACAAGCCGTAAGAAACTCTTAACAGAAAACAAACAGGTTGATGGGGGGGGGGGGGCAGTACTAAGGAGGGCACTCGTGATGAGCACTGGGTGTTCTGTGTGAGTGACAAATCACTAAATTCTACTTCTGAAACCAATATTGCACCGTGTGTTAACTGGCTAGAATGTAAATGAAAATTTGGGGGAAACAAAAAGATGTCCTCAGAGGGATGTTCATTGCGGTGCTGTTTTAGGGATGAAAGATCAGAACAAACCCGTGCCTGTCACCACACCATGGTTTAGGCCCTTGCCTGAGTTATAAAGGATGAGGACTGCTTTGTGGACAGATACGGTGTGATTTCCAATACTGAGGTACAGAACCTTGTATGTAGGTTGCTACCTTTTTCTGAAGCAAAGGGAACCAAAAGGCTGGGTAGGGTACAGAGGCTCTGTACCTACTTGAACTGTTTGAACTTTTTACCCTTTAGGTGCATTACCTGCACAAAATTGATGAGATTTCTATAAATTGTAAGTTTTGTATACATATGTAAATTATTTATTTTTTAAAAATGTTTGCTCGGGGCACCTGGGTGGCTCAGTCGGTTAAGTGTCCGACTTCGGCTCAGGTCATGATCTCACAGTTCGTGGGTTTGAGCCCCGCATCGGGCTCTGTGCTGACAGCTATCTCAGAGCCTGGAGGCTGTTTCAGATTCTGTGTCGTCTTCTCTCTCTGACCACCCCCCGCTCACGCTGTCTCTTTTTCTCTTTCTCTCTCAGAAATAAATAAAACATTAAAAATTTTTTTTTTAATAAATAAATATGTTTGTTCATTGTTTTGAGAGAGAGACAGAGCATGAGCAGGGAAGGGGCAGAGACAGAGGGAGACACAGAATCCAAAGCAGGCTCCAGGCTCTGAGCTGTCAGCACAGAGCCTGATGCAGGGCTCGAACCTGTGAACCACGAGATCACGACCTGAACCAAAGTCAGAGTCCCAACTGACTGAGCCACCCAGGCGCCTCTATTTTTATTTTTTTTAAGTAGGTGTCACACCCAGCATAGAGCCCAGTATGGGGCCTGAACTCATGACCCTGAGTCCGAGACCTGGGCTGAAATCAAGAGTCAGATGCCTAACTGAGTCAGCCACCCAGGCACACCTTAGTTATATTTTGTAGTAACACGTTGGTTAATTTTACTCTTGATACATGGGTAATTTCTCTTGCCCCTTTTGTTCTGTAAGGGATCTCCATAATCTGTCACTTGTGCTGAATGACAGTGTTTATGTAGCTTTTGGCTGATATTACTCTATAAAAGAAACGCCCCAAGTTGCAGAGGACACATTTGGAACCAGTGGAGCTCATCTTTACCCAGATGACTGATGCCTCTGTATCTTCCTATCCCCTATTTCCTGGTCATCTGTGTAGCATAGCTGGGAAGAATCTGACATTGTGGTAGTTTCTAGTTTTGATTTGAGAACCTCTCTGATGAAATCCTGCTGTTGCTACCATGTAGGGGTTTGACTGGGGAAGTTCTAGCCTCATGACAGCCATGTTTTGATGGAAGAACACCCTCCCCTCCAGGGTCTGTCATTCACTGTGCTTGACCCTGACTGTGGGACATAGCCTTGCACCTCCACTACATTTATATGTGAGCTTGTTGCTCATCTTGCGCTGGAGAAGATTTCTGCAGTGTCTGAAGGTGTTGAGCCAAAGATTCTGTCACCCAAGCCTGCCATTTGTGGTTTTTACATAAATGGTTCTGCCTGATGAAGACCAGGGCTGTGCCGAGGACACCACATTCAGGGATGAAGTTCTGCTTGCTGACTGTCAGGCAGCGACCTCCGCCTGGGGCCCTGCAGCAGCCAGGTCTGCCCTGGAGACCCCTTGCCTTGAGAGGAAAATCTGGATGTAAATAAAAATGGTCTTGTAGGCAGGAATGACTATATTAAAGGAGTTTTTTTTTTTTAATTTTTTTTTTTCCTGTATATTGATTTCTGTTTGGAATCTTGATCAGAACTCCATTTTATGCTTCCTTATTTACGTATTTATTTCACTCACATAGTATCAGGATGTTGGAGTCTCAGACCCCTGTGCTCTTGGGGAATTCATCCCCTTATTTGGAGCTGCCGCCCTCCAGTGAGTCCCGTGTGTGAGTCCATAGAGCCTTTCCTGTTCTGTGGATGATCGGCTGTCGTTAGTAGCGGGCTCCAAACAGAGTACTGATTCTTCATATGCCTGCATTCTGTCCCTCAGCAAGAGACAGTGGTGTTTTGCTTACCTTCTTTTTTGTTTTTGTGCCAAAAATGGGGCCTGATAGTGTCTAACGTTTTAAAATGTGACTCTGAGTAATCCACTTTAATGGAAGGTCATTTTTGAAACCTAAAAGGTATTTATTTTTTTTTTTATGTTGCTTAAATTATTATTTTATCACAACTTTTTCCCAAAGGGAGAGAGTTGATGTTTTACGCCAGGAATTGAAGTACCCAGGCCCCTCTTGATAATTGAGTTTGTTTTGTATAAAAAGGCTGCGTTTGAATGTCAGGCCTCTTCATGTGATCTCATGCATCAGAATTGTTCACTTCCCGAAAGCGAGGTCATTAGTGAGACAGAGCCGGGACCACACAGACCTGGGTTATGTTTTAGAAAGTAGTTACCAGGCTCTCTCAGCCATCTGTACAATGGGATGGCAGTTTCAGAGTCATGTGGACTACACATTATGGGGCGTGACTTGTGTCACATGGTACCTGAATGCCATAGGTCTCAAGTGGATGGTGGATGCATTCTCGTGGCTGCTAGAACTTGGTGACCGTGTGTCTCTGATGGCCTGGGATCCCAGCATAATTATGAACAGCTCCTCCTCTCTCAGCAATATCCAGTTTGGATCATGATTATATGGTCGCCCCAGTTAGAATCCTGACCTGTCTTTAAACCCTAGTGAAGTCTTGGGAGTGACCCTGAGGCTTTTTGTCATGTTTCTACCCCTCATTGGTCACTTACTCTCAGTCTTAGGCCTTGAGGACCAGTTCCAGGTAGAGGGTGCTGCGTGCGTGCACCGAGCTAATAGACGCTCTGCTGATTTTGCGGGCAGGAGTCTCTGAGGAAGCAGGTGACCAGATCGAGATCTTCTGTATTTCAGGAACCATTTGTAATCCTGGTCCCCGGAAGTCTATGCCTAAGCTGCTTTATATCCGCCTGGCGCTCTTTCTGCCAGAGATGGTCTGGGCTTCGCTGGGGGCTGCCTGGATAACAGATGACATTCAGTGCGACAGGACCGTTGTGAACGGCATCATTGCCACCGTCATTGTCAGGTGAGGCCTTCCGTCTTCTCTCTCAGTTGCCCGTCTCAGGTGAGCTGTGAGTCCACAGACCTTTCTGAGTACCTGCAGACAGCCCAGGGGCACGGGGGCTGCCTCAGCTTGTTAGGAGTAGATCATAAACACTGGGAGACGTTTGTTTATGTATGAGAAATAATTCATCTTTCATTATGCATTTATTGATGTCATTTCGTTTCTTGCTGGTTCGCATTTTTCTGCATTTCATCCCCTCTGTTGTGAGAAGGAGGAAAACCCAAGAAGGGCAAAAACTAAAGGCAGGAGGAGGAGAAACGCAGTGTCAGGAATTGCGAAAGGGGCTCTGCCCGGGAGGCAGGCTCACAGTCTTAGAACTGATCCAGTTAATACCTTTCCTGTTACAGATCAGGAAAAGGTGACTTTGCTCGCCACCTGAGCAGTGGCAACAGAGTCCCCTCGCAGGGTCGTGTCTTCTGGTGGCATGCGCTTCTGTGAGCCATGGTGCTGGTGCGTAGTGCACTGTCTAGACATGCTCACACATGTGAATGAAAGGCCTGTTGGGGTGTCCTGCGACGTGGCAGAGTTCTCTGGGTTTTACTGGGAAGAACCCTGAGAACGGAGGAGTCCGGGTCGTGCTGAGTGGCCCATGGAAAGCAGGATCCAGGTGCTTCCATGCCCAGGCTGCAGGTCTAGCTACTAGATGCCTCCTTTCTCTTTGGTGGCCTTCCTTTTTTTTTTTTTTTTTTGAGAAAGAGGAGAGAGAGAGCGAGCGCATGAGAGCGCGTGCATGCGTGCACGAGCTGCAGGCCAGGGAGGGGCAGAGGGAGAGAGAATCTCAAGCATGTCCTGAGCCATGATACCATGACCTGAGCCGAAATCAAGAGTCCAGCGCTCAGCCAAACTGAGCCACCCAGGCGCCCCCTTTGTGGTCTTTACTTTTAAGGCTCTGATTTTTGTGGGGCCTGGGTCAGCCCACGGGTGCATGAAGAACTTAGAAAGAACCAGTCGCTCACCTCAGCCTGGTTCTGGGAGATCTGCACCTTCCCTGGCAACTAGAGCCTCAGCTGTACAGATACAAATGCCGAGCCCTGCGGGGGGGGGAGGGTGGCTGGTGCATCTGGATGTGGGGCCCACGGTTAACACCTTCTCTCCATGCTTTGCAGCTGGATCATCATCGTCTCCACTGTGGTTACCATTATCATCGTCTTTGACCCGCTGGGGGGGAAGATGGCCCCATACTCTTCCGCTGGCCCCGGCCACCTGGATAGTCCCGAGTCGAGCCAGCTACTTAACGGCCTCAGGACGGCAGCTGCCAGCGTGTGGGAGACCAGGGTCAAGTTGCTGTGCTGCTGCATCGGGAAAGACGACCATACTCGGGTTGCTTTTTCGAGTACGGCAGAGCTTTTCTCAACCTACTTTTCAGTAAGCTGAAGGGGTCCGCGTCGTCTCCTCTCCCGAGTAAATGTCTCCTCTGGGAACGAGCCCTCTGTGTTTGGAGCCCACCCCCTGTTGATGTGAAATAGCTCTTGCAGATGTGTGGTCGGGGCGGGGGGTGGGGGGTGGGGGGAAAGACTCGGTCTCGATGTGTTAACCCGGGCCCTGTGTATGTGGACCCCATGTCCTCGGTCAGCGCATCCTGGCGTTGCCGCTGGTTTGTTACACCGTGAAGGGATTGGGTTAGTTTTTAAGGAGCTAAATAATGGAACCTTACATGTTTTGGGGGTGATTCGCCAGCTGTCTGCATCCTCTGTCCTCCATCCAGTGTGCCGCGGGTGCCAGGGCTAGGTGGTGCCTTGCATCCAGGGTGGCGTCAGACCTGCGTGCCACGTTACGGCATGGCCGAATATGTCCTTGCAGTGGGAAGGTGTCCTCACTCTAGACCGGTTTCTTCAGTGATTTGGAAATACTTGGTTTTCTTTCACATCGAGTGCTTTCCTGTAATGTCCTCTAGTAAACTGTCGTGTTCAGTATTGAGTCCAAGTAAGGGACGGGAGTGCTCTTGGCATCCCGAGTGACTGCTGGTCCCTTTCCTGCAGCGTCTGAGTCAGCAGTGTCCAGGGCGGGCCCCGTGGGCCGACACCAGGCGGCAGCAGCAGCCTCTGTGTAGACACTGGAGAAGGGTCTCCCTAAACTAATCCAAAGAAGTGCCTCAGTGTAGTCTTAAGATACTTGGAAGAAGGGGGCATGCCTGGGTGGCTCAGTTGGTTGAGCCTCCAACTTTGGCTCAGGTCGTGATCTCACAGTCTGTGAGTTCGAGCCCCGTGAGGGGCTCTGCAGTCAGTGCAGAGCCTGCTTCGGATCCTCTGTCCCCCTCTCTCCGCCCCTCTCCCACACTTGTGTGCACTCTCACATGTGCATTCTCTCAATCTCTCTCTCTCTGTCTCTCAAAAATAGACATTAAAAAAAGTTGGAAGAAGGAAGAGAATCGTTCTCGGTGGGTGCCTTCACCTGCATCATAGGTAGAGCTGGGGGCTCAGGGACCCAGTGGCCAGTCCCTGCTCCTTTTGGACTGGACGTGCCGGAGGCAGCTGAGGACTCCTGCCTGCTCCATGCCCTGCCAAAAGGAGGAGGGGAAAGGCAGGGACAGGAGGCTCGCTCCATTGCTGTCCAGGCGCGGGCCTGTCCCAGGGGCTGGCAGTAGCCGGTGCGTGTGAGTTTGGTCTCAATCTCTGCCAGGGACTCTTTCAGCAAAACCACAGCATCTTGAGCAAGCATCTAGATTTGGCCTGAAATTGGCCATTCCTAGCAAAGATGGTAAATTTATTTATCCATTTGCTCCCCAGCTTTACAAAAGATATGAAGTCCATTAAGTAGTTCACTCACTTAAAGTGAAATTTGAAATAAAGAGCTCAGCCACATTTGTATGTTCTCCAGTGGATTTGTCTGAGGGTAGGATAGAAAAACACATTAAGCTCACATGTAGAAGTCTTGAAAGGAAAATACTTCTTAAGATACCTGTTTACACAGAACTGTGTGTGTGCGCGTGTGAACTTTGTAAAACTGGTTTTGAGGAACTCGGGCCATGTCTGCTAGGTTTTATGACAAGCCACTGTTTTCACCCAGGACACAGACCTGGTGCCCAGCGACATTGCAGCAGGCCTCACCCTTCTCCATCAGCAGCAGGACAGTATCAGGAACAGCCAGGAGCCTGACGAGGTCGTCACCCATTCCCCGGGGCTCCCCCAGGTGAGCCCGCTCTGTTGACTTTTAAGTTTTGACACTTATGCCTATTTATATATCTTCAAAAAACAACAAAAAACCCTGGCTAGCAACAATTTCAGGAGTGGCTGCCTTGGATCCTGAGTTGTGGCTTCTGCTAGTTGTGGTTTGTCATCTGTCAGGTAAGGCATCTCCTCACCTGGAGTTCAGGGACAGGGAGCCCATTCCTGGCTGCTTACCGTCCGTTGTAGTTTGAAAACATTCTCTTTTAGGAATGTGGCTGTTGAAATCTACATGGCAAAAATTCTGGGATGGGGCTTGGTTCTCCCTGGGTGTGACTGCTCTATGCGTCTGGGGATGGAAACGGGTCAGCTTTGCTTGACGAGTTTTCCTGCCATGGGTGTTTATGCTTCTGAAATAGGAGTTCGCACGTAGGTGTACATATTTCTCTGCACCTCATCCAGCTGTCCAGGTCTTCACAGCCCCTTTGTTGCAGGAAGGGAAGACTCAGGACTGGGAGTTCAAGTTTATGACCTTGATGAGTTGGTCTTGTCCATAGGGGTTCCCTGAAACAAAAAGCTTTTTTTCTTCTCTTACAGGAAGCTGATTTAGATGCAGAGTTAGAAAATTGCCATCATTACATGCAGTTTGCAGCCGCTGCCTACGGGTGGCCCCTGTACATTTACCGAAACCCCTTCACAGGACTGTGCAAGATCGGTGGTGACTGGTAGGTGGACTAGTTCGAGGCCCCCGTCTTCTGCTCGTCACTTGCTATCGAGTCTGTACTTTATTTTCTAAAAATAATCCAGTTTCCCCTTTCAAAACACTCGCTGTTGTGAAATATTTCAAAACTGCAAGAGCAGCACTGAGAACTCCCGTATATCCTTTATCCAGGGGCCACCAGTGGTGACTCATTTTGGTCAAGTGTGCCCTGTTACTATAAATACATAGCTTCTTCCTGACTCGCTGGGAGGTTAGTGCAGACAGCATGCCCCTTCTCTGTGATTCCTTCAGCCTGCATTTCTCTGTTTCCCTCCCTCCTCTTGTCCCTCTCTCTCTTTATTTTTAATTTTAGAGAGAGTACAGGCAGGGTGAGGGGCAGAGAGAGAGAAGGTTATCATCAAGCAGTAAATTCCTTTATTTTCTGTATTCGCAGTTTTGCAGTTGGCACGATAGTATCCTTTATAACAGTGTTTCCTGCAGTTCAAGACTATTCACCGCACTTGGTTGTCGTGCATCCCTAGTCTTGTTCTGTTTTGGAACCATTCCTCAGTCATTTTTCCGCTTTCCTGATCTTGACAGTTTGGAAAAGACAGTCTAGGTATTTTGTTAGAGTGGCCCTCAGTTTGCATTTGTCTGACGGTTTCTTCCTAATTAGAGTTCAGTTACACATTGTTGGCAGGAATGTCTGTGAGGGACATTGTGCCCTTAGAAGTACATCGTATCAGCTTGTCCCATTACTGGAGATTTTAGAGTCTCCCATTTTTTATTTAAAAAAATTTTTTAATGTTTTTATTTATTTTTAAGAGACAGAGCACAAGTGGAGGAGGGGCAGAGAGAGAGGGAGACACAAAATCAGAAGCAGGCTCCAGGTTCTGAGCTGTCAGCACAGAGCCTGATGTGGGGCTCGAACCCACGAACTGCGAGATCGTGACCTGAGCTGAATTCGGACGCTTAACCAACTGAGCCACCCAGGTGTTCCGAGTCTCTCCCATTCTCAATATTGATTTTTTGTTTATGTGAAACGTGGATATGACTCCAGAAATGAAAACTATAGTAAGAAATATGCACAGGAATATAGCAGTCTTTTAAAGGCCATTATATGTTCGCCAGAGTAAGTCCTGAAAATTGTAAACTTTAGTCCTTGGTGTTTTTGGGAAGATGGGACAGTGGGAATCGATGTTTCTTGGAGAGTGGCTGAGGTTGGCGCAGTAACAGCTTTGCCCGTGTTTTTAGTTGTAGAACCAGGACAGCAGAATATGACTTGGTTGGAGGTGATCAGCTCAGCTGTCATTTTGGCTCCATCCTGCAGACAACAGGGCTGCAGTACAGGGACTTCATTCACATAAGCTTTCATGACAAGGTAGGTGTGACCGTGCTGCTGAACTTCTTTGGGGTCCTGGAGTCCTCTGAGATTCTGACAGAAGTTACAGATTTAAAAAAAAAAAATTTATGTTTATTTACTTTTGAGAGAGACAGAGTGGAAGCGGGGGAGGGTCAAAAAGAGAGGGAGACACAGAATCTGAAGCAGGCTCCAGGCTCTGAGCTGGCTGTCAGCACAAGAGCCCGACATAGGGCTTGTATGCATGAACTGTGAGATCGAGACCTGAGCTGAATTCGGACACTTAACCGGCTGAGCCACCCAGATGCCTCTACAGATTATTTTCCCCAGAGAAATGTGCACGGGCATACACTCTTTGTGTGCTGTTTCAAGGGGTTGTGAGCCCACATGGGCTTAACATCAGATGGAGCCAGAAGTCTTCACAGAGATACTGTACTACTTTTTGTGTTTTTTGCTTAAGTTTATTATTTATTTTGAGAGAGAAAGCGCGCATGTGAGCAGGCAGAGACAGAGAGAGAGGGAGAATCCCAAGCAGGGGCTTGAACTCATGAACCATGAGATCATGACCTCAGCTGAAACCAAGAATCAGTCACTTAACCTGCTGAGCCCCCGGGCACCCTCGCGCTGTGTCTGCACGTAGCCGGCCTTCTGTTGAAAGATGGCGAGCAGCACTTAGCAATTGGGGCTGCGGAACCGTTAGCAACAGGGACGGCCTGACTCTGTATCTGCACATTCTTTCCCTTGGGACTTCAGGCCTCTCTCCCTCACCCTCAGGTCTATGAGCTTCCCTTTATAGTGGCTCTGGACCACAGGAAGGAGTCTGTCGTGGTGGCCGTGAGAGGAACCATGTCTCTTCAGGTAAGGAGCCCCGGGACGGAGGGGGGTGGGGGGGCAGTGGCCAGCTGCGGGTGCCAGGAGCTGAGGGTAAGGCAGCGTCAGGCAGGGCAGCAGGCATCAGAGGACCTGGGACAGAAGCAGATCCCAGTCGTGAAACACTCCCCTTGGAAAAACCAGGGAGGTCGTTTGCTTTTCACTGAGAAGCGTCAGAAACAGACCAGCGGGGTTGGGGCCCCCCTCAAGAAGTTGCTACAGAGGCGTCTGCCGGTCCCCTCCTGGTACTCAGCATGTGGGTGCCCTGGGGATGGCTGCTTATCTGTCTCCAGTCCAGTGAGACCTCTCCTGGCCTGCCCGTCCCTGCCCTCGCTGCCCCGTGGAGATACTGGGTGGCTTTCTTCTCTCTGTTTCCATGTCATGCTTTTTGGTCTGTTCTTGGCTGCTCCTCAGTCTCATTTCCTGATTCCCACTTCCCTGTCACCCCAGAAAGTGTAGCAAGGCCTTAGCCTTCTGCAGGGCAGGGATGCACCTGGGGGTGCTGTCCGGACTCCACGGACACCTCGCCTCCTCCAGACCCGCACTCTGTGTGGGCCCCCATTTCTAGTAATTCCGCAGCAGCCCCCAGCTAGCCCCTCTAGAAACAGAGAAGCCGCACTCAGTTTCTGTCCTGCCTTCCTGCCCGGCTCTCTCTGGCCATGTCTCTGCACAGTGCTGTGGCCCTAATTGTGCCCCCGTCCCCCTTTCCAGGCTGGGAAGCACTTTTCTACCTGGGTCCCTGTCCCTGTCCCTCATCTTCCCAGTCAGTCCTGATACTGTCCACAGAGGACTCTTCTGAGAATGTGGGTCTGATGTTCCCACTCCTTCTCAGAATCTCCCTCGCCCCCCCCATTGCTTTTTAATACAAAAATTTATGTGTCATATCACAGTTCCATTGGTACTTTGTGACCTTAGCCCACCTGCCTTTCCACTTTGCGCCCCACGCTCGGCGTGCTGTAGAGACCTCTCGGGCTCTGCAGGGTGTATCTGCGCTGGGTCCTGTGGCCCCTTCACCTGGGGTCACCCACCTCTGCTTCCTGAAAGCAGGTTTTTCCTTTAGTCTCTGGCTCAGGCGCCACCTCCAGGAAGCCCCCTGCCCCAGTGCATCCCTTACCCTCCCTTAGGTTTCTGTGAGCTGTTGATAGCCCCCTGAGGACAGGAACCATGCTTTGTTCAAAACCCAGGTACAGGGCTCTGCTTTGTGGGGACCTAGAAGAGGTGTACAGAGGGTACTTAGTTAGGCAGAAGGTGTGTCTTAGAAGCGTCCCACAGCCCCCTGCCTGCCGTGGGTCCCTTAGGAGCTTCCTGGCCACCTGGGTTTCCCTCCAGAGTTCGGGTGTCAGGTTCGGTCCTCAGTCTGACCAAGGAGACGGTCCCGTTCTGCCGTCCTGCGGGGGGGCCTGCCCCCTCCAGCCTCGACTCACAGCTCATCCAACTGCCTCTTCCAATGTGCCCTCTGTAGGACATCCTCACAGACCTGTCAGCGGAGAGCGAGAGCCTGAACTTGGAGTGCGGGGTGCAAGAGTGTTCGGCGCACAAGGTATAAGCCCTGGGGTTTGTGTTGGGGCATGATCCGTTAAGGAGAAGTTCAGAAGGGTCAGGATTTTTCTGACTCTGTCCCATGAGTGTTGACCGTACAGCAGATAGCACCTCTGTGCCAGGTGCTGTGCAGACAGTGCTCTCCACCCTTTCAGTGCAGATTCTCTCGACAGCCCTACGAGGTTGCCTCTGTTTCTTTAAGAGAAAGGATCAGGTTCTGAGCCATCGAGTGACTTGCCAGAGGCCAGACAGTTGTTAGAATGTGTCATTTGGCATTTGACCCCCCCAATCGAATGTTCTTCTTCCTTGATGAAAGTCCTACATTGTCGTGGGGAAGTTGAGTACAAGCAGCATCCAGTGCACGTGAGCCTCCCGCGTGGGAGCCCCCGAGGGGCAGACGCCTGCAACCCTTTCCTGTCGCCCGCAGGGTTCCTGTGCAGACACAACACACGAGTTCTCATTTCACTAGTGCCATGCCGGTGGCCTGGGGCTGCGGCCTCCTCATCCAGGGACACAGAGGGCCTAGAGCAGACGTGGTGTTTTTTTTTTTTTTTTTTTTAACAGTTTTAATGATGTAACATTGTATTTATCACGTAAAGCATGTGTAAGCGTACACGTCACTGGCGGCAGCTACATTCCAAAGGCCGTGTCCCCACTACCACCGTCCAAACCCAAGCTCCCTCGTCATCCAGAACACACTGTCCTTTCAGCAGGCCCCGCTCAGCAGCTGAGAGATGCTCTGCTGTGTGCACAGACCACTTTGGTTTGTCTGTCTGTCCGCTGACGGACACGCTGGCCTTTGCAAGCACCGTGGCCTTGGCCGTGCGGGCCGCCATTGGAGCCCTTTCTGTCCCCTCTGTGGGGACTCTGCCCGGAGTCGGGCTGCTGTGTCTTGTGCTGTTTGCCGGGTTTCACTGTTTGAGGAGCCACCAAACCGTTTTCCAGCCCAGCTGCACCAGTTGGCACCCCACACACAGCATGTGAGGGCTCCCATCCCCCACGTCCTCGTCGACCTGTGTCTTCTGTGGCTTTGGTGACCGCCATCCCAGTGGCGCCAAGCGGTGTCTCCCTGCGGTTTGGATTCACGTTTCCTCGATAACTCATGGGGTGGCCAAGGCGGGTGTTGTCACATGGGGGGGTGACTGGTCCCAGTGATCGCAGCGGCAGTGATCGCAGCGGCTGCCGCCGGGGCCAGGCTGTCGGGGTGGAGGGCCGTGCACCTGTGCTGTTTTTGTGCGCTTGTGGATTTTTTAACCAAAACCTGTATCACTTCTCTAGTAATTGTTTTTTAAATAAAATGCTTAATTTTTATAAGAACATCTGTCAGGGCCAAATGGAGCTGATTGAGCCACAGTGTCCTGCCTGGGTAGTTTGCAGGGTCAGATTGGAGGGTTTGTCCCCCTGCCCCCAGTCAGAAGCTTGACGGTCCAGGGAAGTGACTGTCCCCTGGAGCCACATGAGTCCGGGTTACCTGGTGGACGCATGCGAAGAACAAAGTTAAACTTCATCACAGAGACATGGCCACTGGCCACCCATAGGACACCGTTCAGTGGGCTGGCTAGTGGCTCTGGTCTTAGGATCTACCTGTAGGGCAGGGCTTTGTGCGGCCACAAGATCTGCCCTGAGCCTGGCCCCATTCCCTCCAGAAACGTTCCTCCCTCGGGCCAGGAAGGTGGCCACTCATGCTCCATAGGGGCCCCGACTGCTGTGCTCAACCTTCACTCCTACAGGGCTGGGCTCTACTAGGCCGAAGTCATCAGAGTTCAAAGCTGTGCAGCTGTGCACCATCCCAGCCTTCCATGTGTGTGACACAGGCCAGAGACTTCTGGCCAGCTGCGCTCATGGCCAGGTCACGGTGGGCTCTGCCTGTCCCGAACCGGGTCTCTGTCGTGTGAGGCCAGGGCCAGCCTTCCCCACAGAGCTCCGCCATTGCAGTAGCTCAGGGGGCACCCACACGTCTCCCGTCTTAACACAGGATTTCTCCCTGCGGGTCCCATTAGAAGGCTGGCCGCACACAGACGGGCCACACCGGCCTCGTCTCGTCCTCCACTGAAACTGCTTCATTTTCCAGAAGCCTGTTTCTTAGGACAGCTGTATTTTATTCCTTCTTTGAGATTAAACTAAAACCTGACCTCCCTAGATCTCATTTCCAATAGTCTTAGTTTTGCCTCGGCCGAAACTGGATGCTTAGTCACTATTACTCATTCAGAACTTTGTGTTTTAATGTCATGTTAAAACATCAGTCAATTGTAATCTAAATCTGACAGTCCCTCGGGACTGGGCTGACGTAAACCGTGGTACATGCTTGCAGCAAAATGCCATGTACACGGAACAAGCATAGAAAGGTCTGTTGACAGGCACAGGTGTTTACCATGTCACGTGGTCACTTGTTCACGAAGTACCCATAGAGCCCCCTCCCCACGCTGGACTCCCTCTCAGGAGCCAGGACACAAGGGGGAGCAGGGGCTGTGGCCGCTGTGCCTCCGGGAGACCGTCACAAGTACGTGTGCACAGCGTAAGCCTGTCGTCTTTTGCAATGGAACTTGTTTCATCTGATGATCAAAGGTCACCTTCTCTCGTCTGCGATTTTAGGGCATTTCTCAGGCCGCCAGATACGTGTACCAGCGCCTTGTCAACGATGGGATCCTGAGCCAGGCGTTTAGCATCGCACCGGTGAGCTTTTCCTTTCCCCTGTCCTTCCCGTCATCGTCTGTCCTCAGCCGTTCACTCTGTTTTAACCGTGACGCGGTGTGGTTTCATCCCACAGGAGTACCGGCTGGTGGTGGTGGGACACAGCCTGGGTGCCGGCGCCGCAGCCCTGCTGGCCATCATGCTCAGGAGCTCGTACCCCCAGGTCCGATGCTTCGCCTTCTCCCCGCCCAGGGGGCTGCTCAGGTACTCGCCCCTGCCGGGCGCTGGCCATGCGCTCCAGGCCCGTCTTGTGGCTGTCATCTTGCAGTGCCTCTCGTGCCCGGCCCATGTGCTTCAGGTGCTGTGCGGCTGAAGGGGCACCAAACAGTCTTTCACGGGCCTGTGTTAGCACAGCTCTGCTCTGCTCCTGGGCACGGAGCAAAGACTCTCTCTCTTTACACAGAGGCACAGCTCCCATCGTTCAGACGTCCTACAGAATAGGTTGTGAAATGGTCACGAAATGGTCCTTACATAAGGACAGAGTTTCTTTCCTTGGGAGGAGACCTTCTAAGATTTATTCTCTTAGCATCTTTCAATGTTTATTTTTGAGAGAGATATAGAAACAGAGATAGAGCGAGAGTGAGGAGGGGCAGAGAAAGAGGGAGACACAGAATCCGAAGCAGGCTCCAGGCTCCCAGCTGTCAGCACAGAGCCCAACCTGGGGCTTGAACCTACAAACTGCAGGATCGTGACCTGAGCCAAAGTTGGACACTCAACCGACTGAGCCACCCAGGTGCCCCTCTCTTAGCAACTTTCAGATGTGCCATCTGGTGTTAGTAACTGTCATCATCGTGCTGGACATCCATCCCTATCGGTCCCTGTGACTGACTTTTAACTGGGGCTTTGCACCTTTGGACCACCTTCATGTGGGTCACCCACCCTGCAGCCCCCACCTCTGGCAAGCACCAGCCTATATGCTCTGTGTCTGTGAGCTTGGCTCTTTGGGATTTTTTTTTTTCTTTTTTAAGATTCTACATGTAAGTGAGATCATGCAGTATCTATACAGATAAATAAGTCAGGCTGATTGCATTTAGCATAATGACCTCAAGGTCCATCCATGTTGTTGCAAGTGGCAGAATTTCATTGTGTTTTATGACCATTGTATATGTGCGTGTATACATGCCACTTTTTTTTTTTTAATGTTTATTTTTGAGAGACAGAGTGTGAGCAGGGGAGGGGCAGAGAGAGCGGGAGATACAGAATCTGAAGCAGACTTCAGGTTCAGAGCTGTCAGCACAGAACCCGATGTGGGGCTTGAACCCATGAACTGTGACATCATGACCTGAACTGAAGTCAGACGCTTAACTGAGCCACCCAGGCACCCCCACATGCCACTGTTTTATCCATTCCTGTGCTGGTGGACACTTAACATAGTTCCCATGCCTTGGCTATTACAAATAATGCTGCGATGAACATGGGGGTGCACCGCTCCTTTCCAGCTTCGTGTCTGTTTTCTGTGGACATGTACCCAGAAATGTAATTGCTCACTGACCTGGCAGCTCTACTGTTAACTTTTTGAGGAGGCTCCGTACTGTTTCCAGAGGGGCTGCACCAGTGTGCTTTCCCACCTGCAGGACACCACGGTTCCCTTTCTCCACGTCCTCGCCAGCACTTCGGGACCTTTGTTGTTTTGTTTTTGATACTAGCCATTCTGACAGGTGTGAGGTCACATCTCATTGTGGTTTTGATTTGCATTTTCCTGAGTAGTGACGTTGAGCATTTATTCATGTCCCTCTGGGTTGTATACATGTCTGTTTTTGGAAAAAAGTCCATTCAGGAGCGCCTAGGAGGGTGTCAGTCAGGCATCCGACTCTTGATCTTGGCTCAGGTCACGATCTCATGGTTTATAAGATCAAGCCCGTACAGGCCTTTGTGCTCAGAGCATGGAGCCTGCTTGGTATTCCTCTCTCTCTCCCCTTCTCTTTGCCCCACCCCCCACCCCCCGCCCACTTGTGCACATGTCCGCTCTCTCTCAAAAATAAACATACTAAAAATAAGGATTGGACGCCTGGGTGGCTCAGTCAGTGAAGCATCTAACTTCAGCTCAGGTTGTGATCTAATGGTTCATAAGTTTGAGTCCCATTTTGGGTGAGCCCCACTTTCTCTCTCTCCTCTCTCTGCCTCTCACTCACTGGTGTCCTCCCCTTCAAAAATAAAAACAAAAACACCAGAGTATTGATTAAAAAAAATGTCTTAAGTTCCTCTGTCCAGTTTTTAATCTTACTGTTTTTTTTGTGTGAATTCTTTATATATTTTGGGTATCAACCCCTTATCAGAGATAAGATTTGCAGATGTTTTCCTCCATTCTGTAGGTCGCCTTTTTGTCTTGTTGGTCGTTCCCTTTTGTTGTGCAGACACTTTTCAGTTGGATGTGTTCCCTCTTGTTTATTTTTGTTTTTGTTGCCTTTGTTTTTGGGGTCAAATTCAAAAAGTCATCTTCAAGTCCAGTGTCCAGGAGCTCACTGCCTGTTTTCTTCTAGGAGTTTTATGGTTTCAGGTCTTATATTTATGTAAGTCTTCAGTCATTTTGAGTTGGTTAGCGTTGTGGTGTTAGATGGGGGTCCAGTTTCGTTCTTCTGCATGTGGCTTCAGTTTTCCCAGCCCCGGTACTTGAAGAGACTGTTCTTTCCACATCGTATATTCTTGGCTCCTATGTTGTAAATTAGTTGGGTTTATTTTGGGGGTGTATGTGTGTTTTTAGCCAGTACCATACTATTTTGATTAATGTAGCTTTTTAATTAATCATTTGAAATCAGGCATCATGACACCTCTGGCTTTGCTCTTCCTTCTCAAGATTGCTTTGGCTATTTGGGGTCTTTTTTGGCTCCACATACATTTTAGGATTGTTCGGTCTATTTCTGTGAAAAATGCCATTGGAAGTTTGATAGGGATTGAGCCAACTCTAAATTGCTTTGGGTAGTGTGGATATTTTGACAGTATTTCGTTCTTCCAGGCTGTGAGCATGGAAATCTTCCCATTTACTTGTGTCTTCAGCTTCTTTCATCAGGGTCTTACGGTGTCCAGTGTACACATCTTTGACCTGCTTGGTTAAATTTATTCACATTTTTTTGGGGTGCAATTCCAAGTCAGATTGCTGCTTATTTTTCTTTCTGATAGTTCGTTACTGGTTTGTAGAAACAGCAGATTTCTGTATACAAACAGATAACCTCGTTTTATTGTGCTTCGCAGGTACTGCTTCACTTTCTGAATTATTTTTTTTAAATGTTTTATTTATTTCTAGGAGAGAGAGAGAGAGAGCGTGAGCAGGGGAGGGTCAGAGAGAGAGGGAGTCACAGACTGAAACAGGCTCCAGGCTCTGAGCTGGCAGTCAGCACAGAGCCCGATGCGGGGCTCGAACCCACGAACCGCGAGATCATGACCTAAGC